GAGGAGATGTTGTGTCAGTTGTGTCGCCAAGCCAGCGATCGGTGCCTTCGCGTCAGCGCATCGGACAGGAAGGGTATGTGGCCCGATCCTCGAACATCGACCTGGCCTACATCTACGGCTACGGTTTCCCCCCCGCCAAGGCCGGAACATGCACCTGGTGGGAGCAAAACCTTTTAAGTTTCGATGCCGTGGCCGCTCTTACATGATTGTCGGCGAGCTCGATACATTCCTGCAGCAAAAGTTCCCGAATGTTCCCGAAACGTGGTGGTGCATGTTTTGATTTTGACAGTGTATTCCGGAGCTTGTCGCTTCCATCTTCGGCTGCTGGTGATTTTGATACGATGACGATGACGGTGACGATGACGCCGGTCATGCTGATACGATTCGGTACTGCCCGCTTGTCGTGTGCATCTGAAATTGTAAAGTTGTGGGGCTCAGTGCGCCAAGACCAGCTTTGACAGGGCGGCCCCATGTTCTACGCCGAGAACTATGCCGGGTTCAAGAAGATCCTGGAGCGCGTGAAGTACTACAACGAACAGGCCAAGGTGAGCGGTGCCCCATGTCGTGCCCATGGGATGTAGGTTGTCCTTCGGGCCTGGATGTTCAAATGAGCAAGCAATATTCAATAGGAGGTAGTGTCAGTTCGTCTCGGTTGACATCGGTGCTGCTGCTCTTGCGGCGGCTACGGCTGCTGGCTGCTGCTGCTGATGCTGCTGCTGTGGCTGCCGCCATTTCTGCAGCTGTCAAGCGGCTGACAAAGATCACTAGTTCAACCCCAGTGCACAACTCGCACTCATTCGTGAGGAGCGCTTCACCAAGAACTCCAACTACTTGCCAGTTGACTATTTCGAGCCCTCCAAGCTGTTGGAGGCCTGCGCGGCCAAGGAAGGCACTAAGGCCGGGCTCCCATCATCACAGAGAGCCTCGCCCGGTGTGACTGGCATGCCAGGTGTTCCCCGGCCAGACGCTGATTGACGTGGTGCTGGCCGACTTCCGCAAGAAGAGTTCTGCTCCTGGCCCGTTTGCAAAGCTTTGAAAAAGCTTGCGGCGAGCTTTCTTTCTCTTCGGCATTAGCGTCATTAGCGGCGAGCGCGGTTACTCTAGGTGGAAGGAATCTTTGACGTCTGGAGCCGTGTTTGCATGCTCGTTTTTTTCTTTTCTGTTTGTTGCCGGAAGCATTGACTCCAGGATGCTGCATGGGCACGATTTTGATGTACCGGTCAAGTTAAAACTGGAGAGTTTCGATAGACTGGAGAAGAGAAACCTGTGGCGGGATAGTCAAACCTTATGAATCAGCGGCCTCGGACGATGAGAAATTCGTTTTCTTTCGCTAGCAGGAGTGCCACCTCAGCATGGCGTCTTACTGTATCATGAGACTGTCCAAAACAGTGCCGTCGCATTTCTTGTCGTGCAATGCGTTTGGCCAGGAGGGTTCCTTTTAAGAGTCAACTTAATGGAAAGGATGCAGAGACCGGGGCACGAGATCTGCCTTTCCAGCCTTGACATTCTGAACATGTGCAGTAGCCTTTCTCTGATACCTTGTGCCGTGGGACACTGGTGTCTAGCGATAAAGAACTCACTCCAGTCTGAAACCGTGCTCGCCACTGTGGAACTTGTCAAAAGTGACAACTCATCGATTCGTCGCCTTGTTTGAAGCCGCAACAGGAACGGCAGCGCGCCCATGCTGTTGCAGCCTCTCATTTTGGTGGGAAAGCACCTGGCAGTCCGCAAATTGGAGTCAATTCTGCGATTCCCCGCGTGGCACAACAATGTGTGCATCTCCGGACCGATTGCCAGATGCGGCCATAGCCTGCACAGTTTCCATGACAGAGTCATGACAGTCTCCACAGTGGGACTTGCAATTTTGGGCGGCAGCCGCCGTCGAGGTGGCGCCCGCCAAGGTTTCTGTCCTTGAGGTGTCCGGCAGTGTTGTGCTTGTTAAACCAGTAATCTGCAGAGCCTCCAGTGCTATCGAGGGGTCCAGTCTGTTGCGAGCTTGGACAGGAGCACCGGCAGCTTGCACAGTGGACAACCCTCTCCTGTTCGACATTTTTGCACATCGCAGCGTGAAAAACTTCGCCGGGCATGATCGAAATTTGCCTTAAGCCTATAGGCAGCGTGTGCCAAACCAGTGTAGCCGAATATCGACCGCTAAGGCGGGCAAAGATCAAGCGTACCGCGCGGCAGCGTGCAATGAGAGACCGTCTTTCTCTCAGTCTTACACATCTGGAGCGCAAGGCCAGCTTCAAGCCCTTTACTAAGTTGATGCTTGAGGTAAGAAGCAAACCTGGGATCCGAAGCTCGTCATGGAGACCTTGGCAGACTTCAAAAAGTGCGGAAGCCTGGAATGACAGTCGCGGATCTCAGGCTTGCGGCTCCCCCCAGCCCAGGCACCTACGACGCACGTATGGGAGCTACTTGCGAGCCTGGCGGCTGGTGCTCAGCCCCAATGATTCAGCCACTTGGACGGCGCACCGGGGTGTTCGGTGGGCTTGAGCATGGAAAACAAATGAAAGAGTTCGTAAGCTGGCGCGTCATGAGGTGACGGTGTCCCGCACCCAGTTCTTGACCGCGTGCTCGGCTCTGGGATTTAAGGCTGGTCAGAACGGAAGCTGCGGGCACAGTATGTAAGGGCACTCTTTGGCTTTCTGCAGGATGCTGGCAAAGTTCTTTGGCGCGCCTTCGGAAGGGACAGTGCCAGGGCTCGGTGAGAACAAGGGCACTGATCATTGCAAGAGCACTTGTTCTCCCGAGAAATTCCGATCTCCCCGCAACTCGTGAACGGCGTCAGGACGAGCTGAGCCCCATCTCCCTGGACTTCTTGGACCCAGAGTCTGCTGACCCTCGCAGCAAGAAGCCGCCTGTGCACTGGAGCCGGGAGCATAATTACTGTTTTTCGCGAGCAACAGTGTTCCGCACAGCACGTCAGCTCAGGAAGTGCTGGCGCATTTCCAGCGACCTGTCGCAATCGGTTATCAGCCCAAATTCGGGTTGACCCCTCGCGCAATCTAGCACCACTCGTCTTTGCAGATTTAAGGCAGCTTGTCCAGCAGCTCGGTGGTGTGAGCGCTGCTTTCCGTGTCTTCGACAAGAAGGATGTCGCTGGGACCTCTTGTTTGTACACTGTTCCTTTTTCCTCCTGCCATTTGTTGTCTGTTGTTGTCCCCATGCTTCCCTCGCCTTAATGCTGCTTTGGTTGTGGTGCATACATGTGGTTGTACTGTGGACCTATGGAGCGAGGTGAAGCGAATAAAGATGCCAGAGTTCATCTCCACTCTGAATTCGCTGGATTCCCGAACGCATTCGGACAGCTGTGCGCACCATAGGGGCGCGCCTCTCATGGCACATCTTAGCACAGCCGCAGCCCAGACCTCAGCGAGCATGTGGTGACCCGTCGTCTAAGGATGCATCCTTGCCAGCCACTTGGATGTGCAGTGAGTGTTGCAGGCATGTTCTACGAGTTGAGTCGGCGGGCACTAGCACTAGAAAACAATGACACATGACCTTGTCGAGGCAAAGCAGTTGTTCTACGGCTTGGACACGGATGCAAACGGTCGGCTGGAAATTGAGGACTTCAAATTTCTGGAGAAGCATCCCTGCTCATTCATTCCTCTGCTGCGGGGGTCCTCCTCAAAGAATTCACTGCTTGGTTTGGGGATTTGCACAGGCGCCGAGGCGGTACCGAAGGGGTATAGAGAAAAAGCATTGAGTTGAGGAGTCGTGACAAGTCCGACCCTCCGACGGCCGAGGTGGAAGCTTCCGGAGTTTCTGATTGCAAGTCCCAACGAAGAGGCCAAGGAGGAGGTCAAGCGAGACCTACTCGTGACCTACAAGACCTATTTGAGTCTCGCCTCCACTCAGGAGAGGTCGAGCACCTTACGTCCACAATTTAGGGACTCGTGGCACGGCATCCTGCATCTGGGTGCTGCAGTCATGGAATAGAACCTGTCCGTCAAGGAAAGCTTGGCGACTGGCCCTTGACGAGAACAACTCAAACAGGTTCGCCCCTCGTGCCAGCAGTCTTTTCAAGCAGACTCGCTTTCAGACGTCGCATATTTCCAAGACCGAGACAAGATTGCAGGTGCACATGGCCGGAGTTCCAATCCGCGTGCCGGAAAGTGAACTTCACAGGTGTGGGCCAGATTGTTCATCAGTATTATGCACAGAGCTTGGTGGCACCGTCAATGTCGTGAAACACAGCACTCAGCTCCGGCTGCGTGCGACCCTGCTTGTCCGATGGTCAGGGGAGCTTTTGGCGTGTTTAGTCCGCGCTCTGAGAGGTGATGTGGCAGGGGCTTGGCGCGCTTTGGACACCGACCTCTCGGGGAGCATCACCCTTCAGGAGACTTCGACACCTCTCCTGGTGCTTTTTTGCTTGGACTGAGAAGCCGTCGTTCGGCCATTTCTGCAGTGAGCGAGCAGAAGGCCTTGAAAACCTGCTTTGCGGCAGCGGAGTGGCAGAGGCCTGAGCCCGGCTTCCCCCGACAGGAAGTCGACTACGAATCCTCTGCTACATTGGCCGTTTTCAAGAAATGGGCAGATGATAACTTCGGCAGGGCACCTATGGAGCAACAGCCTCGGCCTCTGTCAGCGCAGTTGTTTGGTGTGCGACACTTTAAGGTGGAATTCGATCGGCTTTCATGGTCTTTGACAGCGATGGGTCGAATGGCGTCACGCTCCGGGAGCCTTGGAGCAACTGGGAGCCTTCGCTTTCAATCGCGACCGAGCCGAGGAATGGCGCCATGCTTGCCGAATTTATGGATCCTCGCGCTTAATGTGTGAAGTCTGCTAACTGCTTGGCCGACTTTGGCCGTGTTCCTGAGGCTTCCACCAGGGCGCCTCCAACCTTTTCAAGCAGCTCGATGCCGAGGGTGTGGGCTCCCTGTCGCTGGACCAGGCTGGAACTCCTTGTTTTCAACTCGTCGTCGGACTAGGTCCCCACGGTTTAGATACACAGGTTGCATTCCTGGATGACTGGGACTTTCAGCCGGAAAAGACAGCAATGTCCGCGACGCCTTCGCAGCACTCGCCGACACGGACAGAGCGGATGCTGGTCTGGCAATTTGCGACAAGTGCAGAGTGCCAACAAGGCCGCAAACACATGCAAACACATGAGAGAGAGAAGGCATTGGGGCAGGCCTACGGGCCAGAGGGTTTCGGCCTCCATACCCCAAGCAAGCCAGCAAGCAAGCAAGCAAGAGAAAGCGTTGCTTCCAATGAAGAGAGGCCCTATTCCATACAGAACGGATGAAGAGACGCAGCTCACCCCTAAAGAGGGAAGCTGGCCGGTGGTTTACGTTCAGGGGGGACTGACAGAGCCGGCCCGTCCCTCATCTTGTCCATCAATTTCTCACCGAACTTCAGCACCGGGGGCCCTGCTTCCCTTTGCCTGCTTTTCTGTGTCCGTGTGCAGTGTGGAGGAAGAGAGTCCGAGGAAGCAAATGCCCGTGCCGAGGAAAGTCGCTCCTGGCGGCTTCTCGCAGCAGAGCCCTGTTGGAGCTGGGGCGAAGCAGAAAATCTTGCGTCGGCCACAAGGCTCTCGAAGCCCCCTAACGTGCCCCTGCAATGGAAGAAAGTTGGGCCGGATAGTGCGCACCGCAACATCTCTGGTTTGAATCAGGGCTGGCGCTTCCCAGCCGAGTGGTTTGGGGCGAGCTCCCCTGCAAGTGCCCGCGGCCTCCACCGCGCGGGCCAGGAACGGGCCTGCCGCGGGCGCGCCTTGGCATCTTCTACAACCAATGCGAAACCAGATCTCGGAGGCAGCATGTGTAGTTGAGGTGGTGTTGCAAATGCCGTGCGCGTGGCCCATGCCGCCACTTTGCTCGTGCAGACGGTGTACGGTCTCTGGCCCCGTGGAAGCCTCAGCACATCTCGGTACATCTGGGCCGAAGCGAGAGCGCAGTCGGTGTTGGCATACACTCGCTTTGCCATGTTGGTGGTTCTCTGCTCGATGTTGGCACAGCAGTTCCCGCAGCTGGTGGCAGTTGGTTGGTTCACGTAGCAGGGAAAGCTAAGCTACTGCAAGACGGATATTGTTGTATTATTCTCAATTACAGCTCCCACAGCTCGGTGGCTTTGCTACCGGAATGTGAATTTTATCGCCAACTGCTCACAGGTCCCCACGAACTGCTGGCTATGACGCCCTCATGTCGCCCGACCCGTTGGAGCCACCAGCAGTGAAGTGGCCCAGCATGTGATGTCATCGTAATTCCTCAAGTGCTTGCTGAGCCGGAAACGGTTTTCTGCTCATTTATTGCTTAGTCCTGCCCTCTTCGTCTACAAGTCTACAAGTGTTTCGTAAGCTGGGTGCTAACTGCCTGACTTGACCATGGCTCCGAGATACCTTATCGTCTTATAGACAGGCAACGTCTCGATCTTGTAGCAGCTGTAGCAGCATGGCTGGCTGAGAGCATTCCCATTCACAGGTACTCCAGATACCGCTGGCTCAGGGAAAGGATCAAACCATCGACGACAAGGCTATCGGAATCAGCAATCAGATCGTTAGGTGTTCAACGGCTACAGGCTGGAAGGTATATGGCCAGGAGACGAGGTTATTAGACAACCTTCTCGTGTGACCCCAGCCTGCAAACGCCCCGCATTGGGCTGTCGTCCAGCCTCGTGAGGCGGCCGCATACAAGCCGCTTGGTGCCTGAGGTAGTTGTCTGCCGCTAGCAAAGCAGCGGCTTTCAGTGGTGCTATCGCAGATTGATGAGTGATGATGGAAATTGCCAGAGAGGGAGCACACAAGACCGTTTCAGTTGCAGCACCTTAGCTTGATTCGCGTGTTGTGTATTTGAAAGTTGCATGTTCTCAGGTCCAGCAGTTCCTGGCCCTGACCTGCGAGGCTGCTTCAGTTGCTATGGTTGCTTCCTATTCCTGAGGGCTGCCAGCAAAGACAGGCGGCGTGCGCGCTGAAATGGAAGGCAGGTCTGTCTGTAGCTTGAATTTCCGAACTTCGCCTCGATTGTTTGGAACCGCTTAAAAGGCGCTGGCAAAACCTAGGATGAAGGAAGCACACGGGGGGCGGATGCACGAACCTAGTCTGGTCCTGACTTCGTTGTGCCGTCAACTTCCGTTTCGGCGGGATCCGAGTGGGTGGGTTCTTAACCAGGGCATGTCCCGAGGCCCTCCCCTCCCTGCCCCGCCCCACCCGCCCCCCTGTAAGTAACGCAGTTGAATTGCACCTGGACATGCTAGGTGAGGCGAGCGAGGACCGACCGCATGAACTGTCGGGTGCTAAGTCACCCTTGAGTAGATTTTTGGCAGCCTCGAGTTGCTGCTTGGGAGGTGGTGTTGTGCTTGTAGGGCTTATTGGGCTGGTTTCGGGTTTCCCCCGTTAGCACTTGCCCATTGTGGAGATCAGGCTTGTCCTCGCCTTGTGCAAGCCGCCGTGAGTCGAAACCTACGGCCATGTGGCCACCGCTAGAAGACTGGCGAACAAACCCTCTGAGTCAAGGCTCAACTGCAGAGATATACTCAGACTTCTCAGACGAGGTCGATCGCTTTCCCGGACCTGACGAATTCGCAGCGGTCCAGCGACTCTTTGGGTGCCCAGGCGACGGACGGGCTCGTGCCAAGCCAACTGAAGCATCGAAGCTGGCTCTTCGCTGTGATGTTGCGAGATTTTGAGCACAGGTGCAGCTTATGGCCCTGCAGCACTTTCCAATGGGCACCTGGGACTTCCCGTTGCCTTTCTTGGCCTCCTCGCCCTCGCGGCAGTTGCTGCTGCAGGCATGCTTCGTACACTCATACAAACATGCTGCTTGATGGGTTCGACTGGCTGCTGTTGTAGCATACCTGCTGTAGCTGTCAGCTGCGCATCGATAAACCTCCAGATGCTCCTTCATATCTTTCCTGTGTGCCTGCCAGGCTGTCTGAACGGTGTTCCGTCTTCACGACAATGAGCCGTTGGGCGGTTGAAGGCTGCTTCGTGTAGCGGTACACATGCACCAACACAGCGAAAAGCTGTGTGTCTGCGAGGCAACGATTCTTGCCGAAGTGGCGTCATGTTTGGAGAGATGGTGATTGACTGCTAGAGTGTTAGTGAAATTGAAAGGCTTCATCACATGAAATAGACGTTGTGGTTCGACAAATGCCGCCGTGCCAGCGCACCACTGAACTGGCGCGAGCAAGTTTAGCTCAGTGCAAAGCAAATTGAGGCCCGGCCTGCTGCCTCGGCAGGTTCAGGAAGAGAGCAGACTTCCCAGTCAGATCTGCCTAATGCCTAAAGGTACATGAAAGGCTCATGATGTTCTGTGAAGAGCTGCTTGCCACTGTCGCATGCAAGAAACCTGTGGCATCACGTGTTGCTCCTTGTGTGCTTTTTTCAGCTTGGCAGCTGTAAGCTGGGCCTCCTACGTCTCACCGGCTTGTCAACGCTGGCTGGCCAGCCTGCCAGGCCCAATGCACGGTTGGCAGGGGAAAAACGGCTAGATGGGGACATATGGATAGATGGAGCCACCGATGGACAGATGGATGGGTAGATAGATATTTAGATCGATGGGGACATCTTTCCGCCATCGATAGCTGGACAGACGGACAGACGGACGGTGTACATGTGTATGTAGGCAGGTTTGATGGTGCGACGCATTCTCCTGGAGACCCTACTTGCCTTCGAACGCCATGCTAGCCTGAAATGAACGACTTCCATCGACTTCCAGTGGTGTCATCAAGAAATTTGGGTACAGGCTGCTTTTCCCTCTCAGTGCTTGTGTGGCTGAACCACCCGACATCGTTTTGAAAGGCTGGCATAGTGGAGCATCTCACTTTTTGTATTGTCCATTTCGCTTCTAGTCCCGGGATGCTGAAACTTCCTCCTGCGATGCAGATGGTGCTTCGATGATGGGACGCTCGTGTGAAACTTCCATGTTCGCGGACCGAGCATTGGCTTGAAGCAGAGTCGCAGGCACACGAAAGACCCACATTCCAACTCTCATCAGCGCATTCCGCAGTAGCAGATTCTCCCGACACGCAGTATTACGGACATTAGGACTGAAGCTCGTGGTGTGACGAGGTTGCAAGTCAACTGGATAAAGCCTTGTTCTCTGCGGGTTCTAGCGTGCTAAGTTACTAGAATGCTGGTAAGTCGCTGAAGGCGCAGCCAGTGTGAGCATAGGATGCATGCAGCCCTGGCCTCAGTGGTCCGTCTTTTGGAGTTTGCCCTGTCGCAGAAACTTCCGAGATCGCACAGCGAGTCCATTTGTGTGGATTCTGCAGCTGCGACATATTGCTTCAGCTGGATCATTGCTGTGCGCTGTGTGTCTAGGACCTTTTATGGGCCTGCGAGCCGGCGTTCTCGCCAAGAAGGCTGCTATAGCATCTCCGCACTTTTGACTTCCGCACTGGTCCCCTAGTTTTCGGGGAGCATATGCTCATGCCCGCAGGTGACCATCAGCCGCTCCGATAGGCATTGGGGACTTGCCGTCCGATTGGTTTGCGGATGTTTTGGTGAATTGCGTGCAGGAAGCTGCTCAAACCTCTGTCCAGCAGTCGCTATACGGACCTCAAGGCGACGCTGTTATGGTGAAGTCGTCACATCACATCCTGCCTGGTCGTGCGCTTGGTGCTCATCTTCGAGGCAGCGGCTTCAGTGGCCTGTAGTCTCAGGATTCATCGAAACGAGAGCTCCCCGGTCTTGTCCCGAAGTCTCTGGGTCCAAGGTCCACAGTCTAGCCAACTCGGCGAATTATCACTGTTGGAATCAAGTGTTGAAAGAAAGGCTATGGTCAATGGTCCCGGAACCGCCGTGCTTGCGTGCGAGGATGGTCTTCCTACGAGCCGTCGAGTTAGGCTTCGACCTTCTCCCTGAACCTTAACAAAGTCTATTGCAACGAAAGCTGAACTTTGGCTGGCCAGACAGATGTCACCTGTTCGCTCCACAGGCTCCCTGCCAGGGAAAACGATGACAGGATGTGACAACTTGTGTCCAAGCAAGGGCGGCCTGACTCTCTGAATCCAGTAAGCGCGCCGCAGATGTCACCGATATCACCGCGACGGCTTGTTGCCGACCGTGCCCCTCGTTTTGCCGTCAGGCGGGCTTCTGCGGTCACGTCCAACAGCGGCCAGAAACTCAAATTTCAAGCAGCTTGAACTGTCGGAGCTTTGCATGGAGCCCGGGAATCGGGACAGCGGGGCTTATACTATGCTGGACGGCTCATTGCAGGCCACGGCTCGCGAAATCGTATGAGGTGGATTGCGAATGCTGGAGTATGTCGGCTTGCCATGCTATATGGTGCACGACTAATCATGACTGATCATGACTCTTTAGCCCCGAAGCGACTCAGCGAAGCTCTAGCTGCAGCATCATGGCTCGATACACCCACAAGGAGTGGGTTGCCTTGTCGTCACCCCAACAGCTGGGCATTTCGAAACCCGACAATATCCGCCAATCACATGCTTTGGTGTCTACAGAGGTGAAGGCGATTCATTGCTGCAGCATGCAGAGCCGGTAGCCTTGCACACTTCCAGGACTGACTTGTGCACAGGTCGCCGAACCTTATTGGACTAAACTTCACAAGATACACAAACACGATTCCGTCATGCCAGCGTGCATGTGGTGCCAACAGAGCTCGGCATGTTTTGCAGTAGTTCTCTCCGATAACAGTGACCGAAACTCGAAACTTGAGGTGCCACGCCGCCGCAATGCCGTATCAGCGGGACCGAGCACAAGAGCCAAGGACGTGTCGCAGGGAGAAGTGGCAACAGGTGAGTCCAGCGTACGGCTGAGCCCAGCTTCCACCAGCTGCCCAGACGACATAAATTACGACGCTGTTGAACGTGCCAGCATCGCAAATCCGGCGAAGAGACTGCATTGTTCGCTTTGGTCTCCGGCTCGAGGAGGGGCCGCCTCCTTCGGCCATTGCTGTGCAGATCAATCGAAGCGGCTGCCTAAATCGGTCGAAGTGTGGCATGTCTTTGCTGCATACAAGCGCCGCAAGGCTCTCGATGTGGTCTAGAGTCTAAGGTCTGTCGGCGCAGACGACCCAGCGTTGCTCTGCTCTTGTGGCTTAGAAGAGGTCTGTCTGCAGAGGTGAGTTTTGCTGGCTGTATCATGCGTCCTGAACGGCTTCTGACGGACTCCCAAAGAACGAGCCAACATGACATGCAGCGCTCGTGCTGTCTCTCACGACAAACTGGGGGACATATTAGAGGTCTACTGCCCATTGGTCGGCATTGCTCAGGTCTGAAAGCGTCGTTCAGCTTCTACAGATCTGCGACAGCTCTTTGGACCGCTCTCCATCGAGCCTCCCAGATAGTCCCAACTAGTCAATGCAACTGTGTTGATGACCGTCGCTGCAGATGTGGTGCTCTAATTTTTTTTGCCCGCTATGCAAAGTCTCCACGTGCCAAGAGTATCAAGAGTCACATTTCGCTCAATGAATACGAAGCATGATGGGACAACAAATTCAAGCAAATCTGCACACAAGTCACGAGCTCATCTATAGGGAATCTGGATGCTCTGGTGCATCTGCTCTGCATTCGATGCAGCCCGTGACGTCGCGGCTTCTCGAACCTGTCAGGAGCTCGAAAGTCTTCTCAATGAAACAGGTCGCTGAGCACTTGGGCCAAGGAAGCAGTGCCAGTGCAAGGAGTCCTCAAGCCTCGCGGGCAAGGGCCCCGGAATGTACTTGGCAGCCCTTTCCGGATTGAAATCCCCCAGAACATCCCAGCAAGTACCCGAAGTGTCGAGACCTCTGACTATATCTATCTGAGCAGGCGCAGCTATGAGGAAGTACGTGAGAAGGCCGTTGTGGCCCGCAGAACTCTTCGCACAACAGCTTGGGCCTCAGCGTTTCCGATGAAGTACTCGGCCCGAAGGTGTGAGTTTTCGGACAGAAGCTGCGCAACAGGTCTTAGCAGCCGAGCTTCTTCATCTGAGCATTTGCGCAGCCCTCCTGACCTCGGAGGCACAGCAAGGGATCTAAGGACCCATGGAGAAGAACTTTGCTGTGTTGAACTGTTGATCGGGAGCAAAAAGCAGGCTGCCTATGTGCCTCTCCCATATCCCGAGCTTCCATGTCAACAGCGATAGTCTGGCCAGATGCAGGCACTAGCTGCTGCAATTGCCAACGACGGGATGCTCTTCAGAGGCCACTTATGTGATGCGTTGCAGCTGGAAATAAAGAGGCCCACGGCAACGCTGTATTAGGACAACAATGCAGGTGTATACAATTTTTTTTGTGCTTGGGGTTCACCTCCAAGTGTCTCGTTAGAACACGGAATTCCAAAGCCGCCGGCACGGGGATCCGGCTCCTTGTGGAAGGTACTCACGGCGGCCCGATAGTGTGAACACAAGCACTTGTTTCGTGATTTTTGACGGCCACGTTTCATAACTTGGACTATCTTCTTGTTTTCACATACGCACGTGACCAAATCTGCCGTGGTGGTGGGGGGAACCACCTGGGGTTTCCTGCAAACTTGCTTTGTTGCTTTTCGGGAAGCATCCTTTTGTGTGGACAACATTCTTCTCCGACGACAGAATCTGAAGGGTTGAGTTGCACGCAGACGCATGATAACACATGCCCCTGTCTCGACGAAGCTCTGCATGATGGCGCTTGGCGGGCTTAGCCATTTACAACAGTGGTTGGGATACTTGTTGCGTTTACCGGCAGTTTCTCTCACAGCTGCATTCGCCTTTGCACTTCTGGGTGGTGTGGTCGGCCCTTCACATTCAACCTCCCGTATATAGCAGGGGCTTTGAGCGAAGGCCAGCTCGGCCAGGGTGAGGCGTGGATTTCCGGCCAGAGCTGAGAAGGAGAGGCTTATAGTGCTGTGTGCAAAGTGTTCGGTCGCACATCTCGACTCGAAGTCTATGCGGCTTCCAAGTTCGCTGTGCCCTGGCACATGATTTGAGCTGCTACTGAGTGGTTTGCTGCAGGGAGCCATGGCTTTGAAGAAGCCGTGTCGATGTCGCTGCTGGCATTGCCGCTCACCACATTTTTTAGCTTTGGACATCTTTGGACTGGAAGCTTGTGCAGCATGGACCAGAGGTGCATGTCAGAAACCTTGGTTTTAGCACGCAGGAGCCCCATCTTGTCGGCAGTCGCCACCGCGGTGTTGTGCTGTCGGGACCTGGCTGTGGATCCGGGCCTTTCACCAGCAGCGGCCCTGGGTTGGCCCTGGCCCTTCCGATGGGGACCGTGGTGCACTTCACGGCATGCCTGCAACACTGCGCGCTCGGTCTAGCCGCTGAACGAGTCAAGGCCTTTGCGCTCCTTGCTCTTTTTGCAGCTGCTTCGACCTCAGAGATCTGTTGTGTGTGGCAGTACTGCGCATTTGAAGGCTACGAACAGATTCCGTATTCAAGCCAGGCTGAAGCTTGCTTCTTGGCCGTGAGCTCAGCAGGCACCGACCGTGCAATGAAGCTCGGCTGTGATTACCGTCGCCTCAGATGCTGAGATATTCCAAAACCTTGCTAGTTGCTGTGGCACGCGATGCCAGAGCGAAAACGGCGTTGCTCGTTTCAGAGTCAGTGTGGCTACAGTCGGCGCACGCAAAGTGCAGCACATGCGCTCGTTGAGGCATGCCTTCGGTTGGCCTTTGGAGCTGTTGGTGGCGCTCGGTCGCAGTGGAGCTGCCCTGGCAGCTGGCAGGCCAAGAACAGAGGCTCCGGCGCAGGAGTGGCAGGGCTGTTGGGCGGTAGGGACTCTTCCGCTCGAAAAAATCGAGGAGCCCCGAGCTTCACCAAGACCTGTGGGAACGCGGACAAAGCGAAGGCTTCCACCGACCGAGGTCGGGATGGAGTTCGGATGATCATTTTTACTACGATCTCGGACGTTCTGCAGGCTCCGCCCAGCTCAGAAGGTGCCATCGCGAGCGAGGTGAAACACAGCGTGACCCCCGTGACCGAGGAGTCAGAGTGGGTATGAGTCGTTATGATAAGAGTTCCGTCTGCGAAGGAGACATTGGCGCTGCCCGTGCAGTCTTGTGCCCTGCTCGACTTCGAGGAACTCGACTATCAGTCAGCAAGTCCAGAGGAGTGGAAGCAGCCGCTTGCCAGAGTCTGGCGACAGCGACTGGTGCAAGGAAGGCTTGCTCGCTTGTGCGGGGGCATTTCCAGTTGGTCTTCTCCACACTAAGGAAGCTACTGGAGCAGTTGCGGGCAACGCTTGGAATCACGGAAGAAGCATCCCGGCCTGTCAGTTCTAAGCCGAGGAGCCTCAGCTTGTTCGAAAGATTGTCAGCTAACACCGAGAGAAGAAGAGAACAGATAGCTTAATTAACTATTCTCCTCAAGGTGATTCCCGAAAGGTGGGTAGGTGCAATTCGTGCTTTGTATTCGTGATGTGGGCGCCTCGATGCGGGTTGGGCTGTCTGGGCTATGGGCTGCAGCTGACGCCCCCGACGTTTACTGTAAACCTTCGGTGGTGAACTTCATCCTGCAAAATACGGGTCGGATGCCACTGTAACCCCGCCGGCAAAGAGTTGAAGACTGCACCGGCATCAGGCGTAACACCCCCATATCAGGGCGTGCAATTTTCGAGCTGGTGCCGTCCAACTTTGGGTGGATTCCCCTGGACACTAAGGGGATCGCGACTGTCGTGACTGCTTGCCGAGCATCAGTACTTGCACTCTTTCCCTGTTTGGAAGGCGTGCTCGAGATTTCATCTGGACTTTAGAAACGGTGCAGCAGGCAGGTCTTGCCATCTCAATCTCAAGCATGCTGAACCATTCCAGTTGCGAGTCTGATCCTGGGCTTGTTGTAGAATCCATTGGCTTCGAGCCTTCTGCTTTGCAGGCAGCCTGGTGGCCGAAATTCGAGCACCAGAAACAGCCCTGCAGCAGCTTGTCGTAACTCGCATCCGGAGCATTCTGCAGTTTCTTCGGTAAATGCGTGAAGAGGAACGTCTGCCGAGCGAGGTCTCTGCTGAAAGCCAACAAGCCCTTGGTGCTCAGCTGCTCGGCATGCACTTGCTGAGACTGATGGTTTGCACCACATAAATGCAGACATGAGCACACCTTGACCCGGTCGCTCCAGGTCACTGCGGTGTCGTCGCAGCAGCACTACCCACACGCCCGAACAGAGCACAAGAAGGCCGGGTCTGCAGAAGTGTCGGGCATTTCATGTTTATCATACTATCATGGCAACAAGAAGTCCTGGCATGGGCAGTTGCGCAACCTCGGAATTTTCGATGAACCAGCGGTTTTATTGCAAGCAAGCTGCGAACAAGAGACTTAGATGCAACGAAGCTCGTACGTAAGATCCAGTCGAACACGAAGTCGGAGGCATGCGGTTTGAGGTGGACAGATGAAGTGACTGATCTGAGACTTTACATGAAGAGGTCTCCATCACAGTCACTGCGCAGCCGCTCGTGTGGTCATGGCGTCAGTGAGGACATGGCAAAGGTAGCTTCTCTGAACTTTTGGACACTTGCTTGTCCCGCTCATTTGGAAGATTACTTTCCATGCTATCAATGCCGCACATGCGAACGATGATGGCGGTATCACGTTTGTGACGTTGCTGATGGCCCCATGTACCTGAACCCAACATCTCGTCGAGACTGCTTGCGGCGCAGGCACTGGACATGGAGCGTGCATGAATCAATCGGCGTACATGAGTTCCTTAATTGATAATTGTGAAGCACTCCTCAACCGAGAATCAAGCTGTGCTGATTGAAGATACTAGTACCCTCGATCTTTGAGTGGCAGGCTAGGCGCAAGTGCCTCCAAGCCTGCCTCGACCAAACCCATACGCAGGAAACTGGGTTGCCAGCCTGTGTAACGCGCGGTTACTGCGCGAAGGTATGATGCTTCTTGCAAGCGTCAACACAGGTTTGATTCGGCCATGTACTTGGGGCGTGTTGGACTCAGGCAGCTGCACATGGAGATGGAAGACCTGAGGAACAAGCTCCTCATCCTTCCAGCAATTATCCTGCGCACCTGCACGCTGTCTTGCTGTAGGCCTCCGTCAAATGGGTCGCAGTGAAGGATTCCCTACATTTCATGAACCTTCCATGAACTGGAATCCAGATAGGGTGCCGGATCCCTGTGTCACTTGCTGCTGCAACCTGGAAACCCCTTTCGCATCACTCTGAAGCCGGGTGGACCTCAGGTGCCAACAGCGTTTTCAGGAAATAGAGGAGAACTACACCTCTTTCAGCAACCGACGCGTGGCTAAATTCAATGTTCCAGTCCCCGGGCGAATGTTCCTCTTCATGGACATCATGGAGCGGGGCCTGCTGTGCTGCTCCGTAAAGCTGCATGGTGCTGCTTGTATCTGCCGCTTCAGTAGAAAGCTCGAGACATTGCAGGTTTAAGCATCCGTGATCATCCTTGAGCCTTATATGTGATTCATGTCGCGAAATTTCAGGATCCCAAGAGCAGCACTCCCGCCTGAAGAGCCTGGAGGCTAAGGCCTGCATCGGCACGTGGCAACGGTCCTAGAAAGATCTAGAAAGACATGCGACCGCAAGATGCGCCTGATGTAGAGCAGCTCATTCATGTTGCAGGGAGGTTGTCTCCAGGTGGGCTGCCGAGACAGCCGACTGGATGGGATATGCGCAGGGGAGTCACAAAGAAGGGTGCCGAGATTTCACACATCTCGAACCAGGCGCAGCTGTCATTATATCGGCCTGCCCTCACGGCCCTCACGGACTCTGTCGAAGTAGCAGGCCGGGTTCCGGCCAGTGCAAGACGGGGAAAGCCTTAACGCAGCTCAATGGGATCACGATAGGTTCGTGTGTAGACCACTCTGCCAGAGCCAAAGCTCGCTCGGCATGGAGCGCTTGTTCCAGAGGTGGTTACCGGGTCGTGTTTCTCAGGCTTTCACACATTTACATGCAGTTGGGGATTCTACGCAGCCTGTGGCCAGGGCATCCGCGCTCACCAGAGCAGCATCCTGCACCGTTCCCGCAAGCGCAGGCCTCTGATCGATGGTGGTGCTTGCGAGAACTTTTCGTGACGGCCCATGGGTGCGGATTTTCAATGCAGGCCGTGGAGGCTGGAGCTGAAGCTGCTGCTGCTTCCGTCGCACGCCGCGTGACGGAACGCGTGCGACAAAACCTGGAGGCTGGAGACGGAACGCTGGGGCGACTGCGGTCGGGCAATCGGTGTTGTATGGTGTTGTGCTCGGTGGCATTCCCATCGTATACCCCCCTGCACAGCAAAACAAACCCACTGCCGTCCGTATACGTTCGTTCTATTTCGTTCTCGTTCTCTGTCAGACATATGCGTGGAATGCTGCATGGACGTATCTGCAGGCCGAGATGGAGACGCTGCGGCACCGCTTTCTGCAGGTGGAAGAACTGGTCCTAGCACTTGAGCGCAGCTTGAGCTGAGCTCAGGTCGTCCGTGACGTGGAGGATCTTCACCGGAGTGCGGCCATAGGCCGTGCACAGGCTGCAGAGGCATCGGCGGCCTCCCTTCGGCAACTTCTCGTGGAGGCGATCTGCAAATGAGCTCGAATGACGCCATGGCCATGTGTGCATATGTGTGCGAAGAGGCTCTGATCCGACCTGGTCGGCCCGACGAAGCCCAACAATTGGCTCTCAAACTTCTGAGCCAGGCCCATGCATGTCGCGCATGCATCTGTTTTATGGGAAGTCACTTTCGGTTTCATGCTTGACAAGGTGGAGGTTGCAGGATCGCTGTCTCGCGGATAATAGCTTTGGCTATACTACTTCTTGCGCAGAAGGCAGAGCAGCCGGTTGCGCAAGTCTTCAAGGGCCCACCGCCCCATGTCAATATCGTTGCCCTTGAGCCTTGAAACCGAACAAGCCAGAGGCAAGCTTTTTAGGGGTGTTCCTGCATGAAGCTGGGCCGCTCAGTGGAAAGGCGCTGAATGCCGCGACCCTGCTCTCGGCAGCCTCGCTCTCACCCGAGCCGAGCAGTCCGATCGCAGATGCTCAGAAGCAGCTTTGACCCCTCAACATCGTAATCCTACCTACAATGGTTTGCTGACAGCCATGAGCAGCTCATCACAGAGGCCGACATGGAGAGACTTGTTGTTCAAGTCGTGCTGCGGTCATCTATATCACGAACATGCGGTGGGCTTACGGTAATCCCTCAACAGTGACAAGTGACATGTGTTAAGTTAGAGGTGGCCTGTGTGGTCAGTGGCAGCACGGCGTCGAGTGTGACAGTCAGAGGGACCCAAAGGCATAGGCTGCATGCCATTCTGCAGCCGAATTTCGAACATTGGGGGAGGGGTCATTGTGCGAGAAGTTTAGCATATGTTCACCTCCCCTGAATGCGCCCACGATGTGGGTCGAACACTTCGAGCTCCCTTTTATCTCCGTAAGACTGCCTTCCAGCCAGCTGCGATAGTCGTCATGCACATGCGAAATCATACGGACATTTCCAGCCCAGGAGATTTTCAAGAAGCACGAGAGCGCAGTGGAGACCAGGAAAATCTGTGAAGACATCTTGGCGGAGCGGATCCAAGACCTGCTAGCAGATGGCCACGGGGCACGTGGTGCTATTGCCAGCGCTCTGGGCAAAATGGAGAGCTCGGCAAGTTCAGCTGCTCTTCCTCGCAGTCAGCAGGCCTGGCTGCGGATTTGGTTTCACCACAGATTTCCTCTTCGATTTCCCTTCACCAGATTTTTCCTGTGCTTCTCCGACTCGAAGGCTGTGTTGCCGCCACCGCCTCGTAGTACTTCCGAACCAAGGTGGGCACATGTGGGCACCGTGTGTAGCCGCAGCCATAGCCACTCCCATTCACAGTGCGACTCGTGGTCTTGGTTCTGAGAATCATGCAGAAAGCTCGGTGCTAGTTCCGCAAGAGGTGGTTTTCGTTTCCAGGAAGCCTGGAGCGGCTTTCCGCCCGATGAGACTGGCAGCTCTGGGGCGAGATACACAGCGGGCAGGCAAGGTCCAGCAAACATGCTCTTTTCGGGTGTTCGTCAGGAGGTAACGGAAAGTACTCGAAGGTGTAACCCCCGGTGGGGCCCAGAGTGCTGTGGCTCTCACCTGGTAGATGACGGTGTAGCGTCTGCTGTATGCTTTTCCTGACAATGAGTGGGTGCATTGTATGAGATGGCCTGGCGTGCTTGAGCTTGGAAGTAGGAGGCGGCTGCTCCAAGATAAATGCATTGGCAGCGCTATCCCGTTCTGTGATTTCAGGCTCTGCCCGGGGAGAAGGACATGCATTGCGCCTTCGCTGCACTCTGTGGCATCTCGAAAATGCCATGCATCCGATCGTAAGCGCAGTTGGTGGGGACATTGATGTCTGAATGGCTCCGTCTATTATAACCTGGTATTGCTATAGCGCTGCGATAGTAGGTCAGTGAAGCAGACTCTGCGTATCTCTGCGTCGTGCATATTCGACGCCACCTTCATCGTTGGTCACCAGCGTGCCCAGGTAGGTACGCAGGCTAACATCCGCTGGAGTGAACGTTTAGTTGGTGTTGAAGTAGCTTGCATTCCTGGATGCTTGTTCGTTTCTGGGCAGTCAGTCTACCAAGCTGATTCTCTTGGCCTCCGCCGTGTACATTTGTATCATAGCAACTTGCTTATCTCGGCGAAGACCGCTGAGAAAAAGCTGTATCCGCGTGGGCACAACCTTACAGCTGAAATAGCTCGGGTGGCAGAGAGCGCGCAGACGGAAAAACCGGACATCAGCACCTGGCAGTGCGGAACGACTTGCAGATGACTGACAAGGCACCGAGCCTTGACAAATCTCAACGCCTGGTTTCTGAGTCTGGGAGTCCCGAGTCAGATTTGATGCCATGTAATTAGGACGAGTTCGACAATGTCAACTATGTCACTGCATTGCACCGACTGGCGCGGTTGGCCGCAAACTCAATTTCAAGCTCTGCCATACATTCATGCTGGATTGCAAGAGTTGTGCATTTACTTGACAATCTGCCTTCATGTGGCCTCCAAGGGTGTTGCATCTGGAGCAGGTGAGGGGCTGTGCAGCAGGCACTCGTAGCTGCAGCACCGTCATTTCAGGAAGGTGGAGGCTCTCGTACAAGTGTGACAGTTCGCCAGGTTGGTGGATCACCTGAATGTGAAGATTTTGGAGCTGCGGGCCTTCTCCTCAGACTCTCCAGCAGCACGGGTGGACTCGGTGAACTTTGGGATCTTTGGCTGTTCCTGAGGTCCAGCAGCTTGCTAACACCGTGTGGTCGTCGGCACGCTTGCTGGTGTGGCGACAGCCGACCATGTCAGCAATCGCGGGACGTGCTGCCCCCATGAGCACGTCATTTTGTGTCCTGGAGTCCTCGGAGTCAAAATATACTGCACAGCACCATCGCGCTTCTGCCATTCGACTGGTGTTCTCGGCTTTTGCACGCAACTGCGATTATATCGGCGATAGCTTGAATCGATCACGCTGGTCTCGATCCGAACTTGCGACAGGTCGCAAATCTGCACACTTTACTTCAGGGTGTCTGTCCAGAAGCATGCCTTCGGAGAAACGTGCCCGCGACGAAGCCCTAAGGCGTTACGTGCTGCAGCGAAGACCTCGGGCCGCAGGCGCGGATCTCTTGATCTCACGGTTCACGGTCACGAGTGTTGGTTTTTCTTACTTGGCAGCTAGCAAGTCTCATCAGAGTGCTAGACTGGAGATGACCATAGTCCTGCAGGAGTGTTCGAACTTCTCGTGGGCTTGTGGCAAGATGGAGCTGGCGCCTCCGTGCTTTTTTCAAAAAGCCAGTCTGCGTGGGGTTGCCCTTTCGTCTGCTGCAGCCAAAGGGAGAGTGCGATGCATGCTGGTTCCATCAAGACCGCAAAAGACCTCCGTACTGTATGATACACCACATCGACACCACCCCAAAATTTGGAATGCAGAGGATAGACATCTAAGGCGGAGAGAGGAATCCGTGCTCGCGGCGGCAGCCGGCCGATCAGTCCAGATAGTGCTGCTCTTGGTTTTCCGTTGTCTCCGTCTCCGCGGTGAGTGACATGCTCCTCGCCTGCTGCATCGTTCTCGTTGGAAGCCAGCTCAGGTAACAGAATTCCTTCCGCAGCACTCGGGCAACATCGCACAGTGAATGGCTAAAACGAGGATGCACGGCCGAATCAAGATGCTGGCAGTTCACTGAAGAGAGATTGCTGGGAGTGTCAGTATCCATGTTGGCAGTTGAGCAGTCTGCAAAGGGTCCAGCCATCACGTGACAGCTTCGTGGCACCTCCTTGGACTGTGCCGAGCCGAGGAACATCAGCGAGCCATTGGCAAGTGGGAATCCCAGGGCATCATCGCGGAGTATCCAACGAGTTGGAATTTCGATGTGTGGTTGTGCTGTTGAGGATGCCTTTTTGCTTTCGAGAAGCCTGGAAGGTGCAGCTGCCGACCGAGCCTTGTTCACTATCCCCCATAGTGAATAGCAGAGTCCTCAGTCTGTGGCTTGTGACGTAGTCGTGATCTTCGTTTTGCGCATGTCCTGCATGCATCCTCTTTTTGCACTCCTTGCATGCTGCGTGCACCTCCAGTCGTGCAGGACAATTGCCAATACGGCCGGGAGAATCTATTTCCCGCAATGCCACCGAAGGGACAACAATGTCAAGACGAAGATATAGCACTTGACTTAATTGCAAGCTCCAGCTGCCTGAAGCAGACCTAGGCAGGAGACTTCGAATCTAGTCCAGGGCTTTGCCAAGATGTCGGTCAGATGCTCAGCTGGGCTTGCGGCTTGAGAGCTGCCGGAGCTATGAAGCAAAGCCATATGCGGCAACATCGCCCAAGGCCAAAAGCACGAAACCCATTGAGGCGCTGTGGGAGTCAGAGGCCGACAAGCTCTTGACCAAACGGGGCTAGCCTGAGGTTAAGCACGAAGTCAGCAGGTGTGAGAGCTCGTTAGTCCGGGCCAGGGGAATGCTACACGAGCAGAGCCTGAGTTTCTCTGACGAAAATGCTTCAAGCTGTTGGGACGCCTGCTCCAGAAGGGAGGATAACATCAACTGCACCCGACGACCTCCAACACTCAAAGTCAGCCGTGCCCAGAGAAACGGAAGCACTGCCGAGCAATGCAGACTTGCTACTGTACTGATAGCACAGCGTGTGTTTGCCCTTGTCCTGCTCGGGGTGCTCGCCGATGTTGTGCACAGCATTCCTCTAGTTACTCTGGTTTGCAGGTTACCAGCAAGAGCCACCGCCTCGGGTAACAGACATCGGATTCGTTACCGGATGCAGGTAACTAGTCGGGCGTTGGCGGATGCCAGCCGCTGCCGGAGTTGTGTCAAGCCACGTCAAGTCACGCAGCCTCTTCATGAACCACAACATGCATGCAACAGCCTGCCTTCCACTTTGGTAAGACGAGCCAGCGCAAGTCTTTGCTGGGCTCAAGAGTGCTCGAGGTCTCAATGCGCAAGGCCCCTCCAATCTCGTCTGGTCTTGTGCAACCACTCTTCATCGGTGTGTGGCTGAGCACAGCATGAAGCGTGAAACCCAAGCTATTTCACATCAAGAACCTTTGCCAATCTGCAAGGCCCGGGCCGTTGCTGCAAGTCGCAGCGAGTGAGGCTTGGCCACTCCGCCACCCCATTTCCCGAGTTTTGCGATTCAGTGCCGGTCTCGTGGCGGGACGTTAAGGCCCAGAAGATCCTGGACACCTTCTCAGAGCAGAACCTTGCAAACACAGCCTGAATCCTACCAAGCTGTGAATTTTCAATAAAGAAAGAGCTCTACATAGTGGAGATCGACGATTCGCAGCCAGTGAGTAGCGAGCCGTTTTCTTATTTGTCTTCTGGTCGAGGCATGGGGCTTCGCCAAGCCACAGTGGAACGGTCTGGTGCTTATGGCCCCGGGGCACCAAGTATCTCGAGTGAATGCGAGAGACTTTCGGAAGTAGTCAGTATCTGGTCGCAGCTTGCATCAAAAGCACATGGACTGGATGAGGTGTGGCCTCGGCAACTGCAACCTTGGATCTGGCACTGGCAAAGATGCCCGAGCTCTTTCCGCAGGCCTCTGTTCGTGCACGGTGGACGAAGTCCTTTGTGCACCCATCCTCTACGAGTCACATGCCCAAGATAACGGAGGCCCTGGCGAACATGGCCTAGTCGTCAACAAATTCCGCGGCAGAGCCCTGAGCATGAGCCGTGGTTGTGGCATGTGGGAATTGACGGCACCTTGAACCGGTTCATTCTCTGCATCGGAAATTTCCAGGTGAAGAATGCGATGTTGCTGGCTGCGGCTGATGCCTCGTCAAGCATGAAGTTTGCCACCGGTGCTTCTGCTTGCTAGACTCAGCGGCAGGAACCATGTTTGTCAATGCATGCTTCGAGCTTGCAGAGTCAGCCTAGCCAGACAGAGCACTCTGCCTGTTGTAGCTGCTCGCCTTGCTGCGGTGCGCCTGTAAGCAAGCCCAGGCTGCCTCCAAGGCGATTGATGTCATTGACTAGTTCAACCACCAGAACACGTCCAACACCTTCTGGTGCGCCGGATCGGATGGGGTTCGGCAAAATAAGCGGTTTCTGCGGCAGTCTTCTGGATTGGCGATACCAGCGGGGTTCTTATCAGCGCAAAGTCGCCTAGGAGTACAGCAAGAATCAAGAACACAGCTGTCGCATGCTATCGCTATTGCTGCTGCTGCTGCAGCAGCTGCTGCCATTACTTGTGCTATCTTGTGCTACCACCACTACCACTACGACTAGTACTATCACTGCTGCTTCTGCTGCAACAACAACAACAACTGCTGCTACTGCTACTACTACTACTACTACTACTACTACTACTACTAGTACTACTACTGCTACTGCTACTGCTACTGCTACTGCTACTGCTCCTACTCCTACTCCTCCTACTACTCCTACTCC